ATGAAATCAAGAATTAAAGAAGTATATCGAAGCCCAGCTGCAGAAAAAAAATAAACTCAAGCAATTTTTGGAAAGTCCCCTACTTTTTCAAAAGGCATAAAAATCGTCCAGCCAAGTATGTTTTATATTGGACTTTTCCAATTTAAGTGATATTATTATAATTAAAAAACATTTTGAAATTCAAATGAACCTACTATATATACATCTCTTGTAAATAGAGCACTAAAAAAGCTATTAACAACACTTAGGATCACCCGAAAACTCAAACTAAATCAAATATTGTTTACCCCGCTGCCAGTGATTTTGCAGATTAAGATGATTTTAATGAAAACTGTTTTGAGCCTCTCTCAAGTTCATGATAGATTCACTTTATTGACAAGGCTGTTCAACATATTCTCGCTAAAAAATTTAAAGCAATATTCTGTTTCACATACTGAAAGAACCGCAAATAATTGCTTACTTCTCTGGCGTCTAGAGTGTAGCGGGCACCTTATCCTCGATCGAGCAAAAGTTGTACATGCATGTTAGCTTACGTCGTTCCTTTCTTCTAATTGTACGTAAAGACCAAAAAATTTAACACAGCCACAGCTGTGGCGTTAAGGAACACATATGGATAACCCAGAATGTGGGCATCATTAGAGAAGCTCCCATTTTAAACATGGTTGAACCTTGAGTAAAAGAGTCTTAAATTATGACAGTAACCACACTGTAACCAGCCGTATATAAGCTTAAACACTGCCGAACTTATCCAAGGTGCTATAAACAGCTGAGTACGTGTTAGTCATCTTCGTTTTTATGCGAAGAATAAGGCAACGACACATCCTACATCGTGTAAAAAATCTCAAACCTTCCTAAAGTTATCGAGTTTAATTTATAAATGGGCAAACTAGATAGACCTAGAACCGCCAGATAAAAACAATAAAATCATACTCACCGAACAAGCAATGCTTCACGATGACTCAAGTTGACAGATCCCCCTAAGATCCCGCCAAGATACAGCTGCAAGTTACCAGAGCGATCTGAAGAAACTTCTAACAACGTTAAACATGAAGTAAATCTGCAATCTACAAATCTAAAAAGGAAATACTAGCACCTGGTGCCACGAAGCTGGTAAAATTGGATTGTGTTGTGATAAATTTCCTGTGAAAACAACTGCTTCACAACGACTCGGTCATCAGTCGCAGATGCACAGAAATCACTGAACGGCGATTGGTCACGAGTCACCACGTGATATGCTGATTCCACACCAATGAGTCATCAATGTCGTTATGGCTCGCTTTTCAAACTCCACATTTTCAAGTTGCCATGATTTGCGGCGGCCCACGCGCGGATAATTTTTTAAAACAATTTGGGAGAGAACTTTTCATGGATATATAACTCTTATTGGAAAGCGTAAAATTTTACAATATGGTGGCCCACAACTGTCACGGCAAAACCAAAAACCTCACGGCAAAAACAAAATACCTCACGGCAAAACCAAAAACCTCGCGGAAAACAAAATACCTCACTGCAAAACCAAAAACCTCACAGCAAAACCAAATACTTCACAGCAAAATCAAAATAGCTTTGGTTTTTGTCGTGAGTATTTGCTTTTGCCGTGAGATATTTGGTTTCTGCTGTGAAGTATTTGGTTTTGTTGTGAGGTATTTTGTTTTTGCCGTGAGGTTTTCAGTTTTGCCGTGTGGTATTTTGTTTTTGCCGTTAGGTTTTTGGTTTTGCCGTGACAGTTGTGGGCCACCATATTACAAGGAATAATACAACATTTAACTATTACTAGTAAAATCAACGTTCAAAATGAACGACTTTTCCACCGTCCGACGGTCAGTTTAAGATTAGGCTTAGATATTAGTAAAGTTATTTAGAAGATTTTGAGATATTTAGAAAATCTCATGATATTTAGGAAAAATTGTGATATTTAGAATTTTGTTTCGAAAAAAGTACTGAAATCATGTTGTCCTGGGAAGCTACTTCATAGCCTGTGTACAGACGTCCCCTCCTCCCTCCACAGGTAGCCCAAGCATAATATGGCGAACCTGTGGTGTAATATGAGAGTTTTGGATGGGAAAAATTGAGTTTGAAACTTAGATGAAATAAATGAAGTAAAAGAAAAAAAAGTTATCAATATCATTTATTTCATCTACGTTTCAAACTCTGTTTTTCTCATGCAAACTCTCATATTACGCCATAGGTTGCATGTTAGCAAGAGACTATAAAGGGGACAGAGAGGGCATCCCCCATATACACCCTATTCCATAGGTAATTCGTCTCGAGTTATTTTTAGAATCGGGATAAAGTGACCTCGCGCGAGGCGTGGATGTTTCGTGGAGGTTTCGCATGACCAAACGCCGTGCAAAACATGTCAGGCGAGAGGCAATGAAAGCGTAAAAAGATTGAGAGCATTCCTGAATATTGAAGCGAAATGAGTCGGCGCTCACCTGGGAAAAAGGAATCGCTGGACTCTTTGACAACCCGATAGCAAAACAACAACTTCGCACGTGCAACACACTTTTTTGTTCATTTCTTTCCCGTTTTTGCACGACTACGACGTGAAAATGCCTAATTTCGCATTTTATGGAGGACGTAAATAAGCAACGACGAAATTTTGTTTCTCTTTCTGAGCTTGAATATGGTCCCTTGAAATTCAGCTTTAGGAGGGTTCGCCTACAATTGACGAAGTAAGTGGGTAGGAATAATCGCTATAAAGACTGAAATAATAAACGTCATTTTGAGAAAAAGACCTAAAAAAAACAAAAAAGCATGAATAAAGATGTCTGAAGCTATTTTAAACATTTCTGGAGATTGCTGGGAAAAATTCATCTGTTCCTCAAATGCGTGTATATTAGGGTCATTCATTTTTTCTGAAAGTTGAAAAATGAAAAATGAAAATCTGTGTTCAAGTTTCATTTTTTTTTTCAACTTAGGAAAAAGGAAAAGGAAAAATAAAAATCGACAATTGATTTCAATTTTCATTTTTCTCTAAACATAGAAAAATGAAGAATGAAAATCTGTGTTCAATTTTTACATTTTTAGAAATTGAAAAATGACAAATGACAAATGAAAATCTATGTTCAATTTTTATTTTTTTTTCTGAACATAGAAAAATGAAAAAAGAAAATCTGTGTCAAATTTTAATTTTGTCAGAAAAATGAAAAATGAAAATCTGTGGTCAATTTTCATTTTTTTTTCTGGACTCATAACGGAAATGAAACTAACCCGGAAATAAAGATACAATAGATTACCGTGCAATGGCTGTCATCAGCTTCGATCTTGTTTCGGTCGAGTGTTTCTGTTGCAATGCAGGAACATTACATTATTTTTTTCTCAGGAGAAGGAGAACGAGGAGTAGAAAGACGAGTGAAAAAAATGCCGGTGACAGCGGAGATGGGCTCAAATGTTTGGAGTAAGTCATACCGCAGATTATTGTAATGAGCTGATGTTAGTTTCCAAGTGTTTTCGCGGAGAATGCATGTGACAGCTATGGAAGAACTTCATAGGCTGATGATGCCGGACCTCTAACATCAGCTACAGGCGAATTTCCCATAAGCGACCACCCAAAATGCAAAGGTTTGGTGGTCGCCTACGGGAGGTCTTCGCTTACGAGGGTCGGACCGCAAGGGCGAAATTTTTAAGTCAACCTAGGATGGGGTGGTATATTTATTCTAAAAAAATTTATTTAGCTTTATTGACACAATCATTAGCTATTCTATGTGACAGTACACTCAATTAGATGACGCTATAAATTGGTGGTTAAAAAATTTTACTTGTGTACGTGACTTCTTTAAAGAAATGTCCCTGAAACGTCTGACGAACAAAAACGTAACTTCTTAAACTGAAACCTGGAAATCTGAGTCTTTTTCTTAAGGGTAACTATGGTTAATATTGTAGTTATAGATCGAACTAAAAAAAAACACATGTACAGTAATAGTCGTGTAGGCAATAATGACAGCCAAAGAATAAATTCATTTTTGTCAATTTTTGCCGCGATGTACTTCACTGTTTAGTAAGACCATCTGTCAAGTGGTCGCTTACCGGAGGTTTAAAGCAGTAGAAAATTCTCAAACTGTCATCCGAAAAAGTGGTCACGGTCGCTTACGGAGGTGGTCGTTTACGAGAGGTTTCACTGTAAGGCTTTGATTGAGAACATTTTTGTTGTTTTGGTGTTTTCAAGTTCCTCCATAGTTGTCACATACATTCCCTGCGAAAACACATAGAAAAATCAGCTCAATTACAATAATTTGCGGCATGACTTACTCCAAACATTTGTGCCAATCTCTCCGCTGTTACCTTATCTTTTTTCACTCGTCTTTCTACTCTTCATTCTAAAATAATATAATCTACTTCCATTGGAACAGAAACACTCGAACAAGATCGAGGCTGATTTAAAGAAGCAAATGACAGCAATTTCGCGGGAATCTGTTGTATCGTGATTGGTTGTTTTTCTTTATTTCCGTGTTAGTTTCATTTCCGTTTTGAGTCAAAAAAAAAAAAGAAAAGAAAAGAAACTGAATTGACCACATTTCCTATGTTCAGAAACAAAGGAAATCGAACATAGATATTCATTTTTTCATTTTTCATTTTTTAATTCCTAAAAATATAAAAATTGAACGCCGATTTTCATTTTCATTTTTCTATATTTAGAAAAAAATGAAAATTGAAAATCAATTGTCAATTTTTATTTTTCACTTTTTAATTTAAAAAAATGGAAATTGAACTCAGGTTTTCATTTTTCATTTTTCAACTTTCAGAAAAAATGAATGACCCTAATATACACGTATTTCCTCCCTCCCAGCAAGACTGATGAAGAGGTTCCCAGCCAGCACCCGTCACCGCCAAAAATACATCACCCATTGACGTATACTCTTCGCGTGATCCACCGGACGAGGGGAGACTGGTTCAGCCACAATTATTGTTCTTCCACTTGTGCGTCCACTTTATTCACAGACTTCTCCAAAAATTTCACCTGAAATAATATTGTCTTTCTCGTCTGCAATCAATTTACAATGCCTAAGGAACGGACAGAAGTGAGCTGTTGTGTCAAATACTTGCTCTTCTTCTTCAATGTGTTCTTCTGGGTAAGTTTGGTTGAAAAATGACAGAAATATATAGACATGGTGATTAGCAAATGTCATAGACTGAGTGAGGAGTGAAACTGCTAAACAATTCGAAACGCTACCACAATGCACTTGATTTTGTTGTTCCTTATTACACCTCGTCCATTAAAATAAACTGCTGTAAAGTACAATGAGCTTTAACGCTATGAAGATTCATTTTGTAAGCAGCTACGTAGCTGGTAAGTTTATATAAGTACACGAGAGGCGATCGCGTACTCACACATACATGTCTCGTCAAGTTACTTCCACTTTCCTATTGTCACGTTTTATACTGCTGATGAGTTTGAGATTCGCTTGATTTTAGAATTCAACTATGTTTACTTGCCTTCTTTTTTATGGTATCTCATATTTCTCAGTATTGCTCGCCGTACGTGTGTCGTCATGTCGTTTCCTTGTCGCCACTTGGCGTTGTTCATGTTGTTATAATATATATACACGACGTAAATAGGCTCTTGACGAGTCTACCAAAAAGTACTTATCCAGCCTTCGGTCGTCATTGTGTAGATCGTAATCAGAAAATATATTAACGTAGTATTGTATGCACCGCTGTTTTTTACTGAATTTTTTTAACTTAATTTTCTGATACGTCCCAAGCTTTTCCAAAGGTGTACATGTGTTTTCCATTGTTTGTTTGCGAGTTTGAAAGCTTTTCGAATTTCCGAACACTGATACTAGCTCAGCTGTAATGATTATTACGGTAATAATAAAAACAACATGTTTATAAACATTTCTCAAACTACCTATTTATATCATGGTAAACTAACCAACTCGAGAGCGTTTTCCAATTGGACTAGAACATAGGCCTTAGTTCAAACAAAACTTAGGCCCAGTTCAGACGTCGTGCTTCTGCCGTGCCGAACTAAATTCAGGAATTAAGTTCGACAAAAGCACGGCAGAAGCACGGAGTCTGAATCAAACTTTTGAATTAAGTTCGGCAAGCAATTAAGTTCGACAAGCGCTGCCGTGCTACACAGCTCTGGCACGACAGCAATTCAAACGTCGTGCTTCCTGCCATGCTAAACAAAATTCATAAATTATATTAATGTATTTTGGCGAGATTGTGTTCCCACGGGGAGTTGGGAGAAGAATTGTTATGAGGCATCAGTAAATCCTGAATTTGGTTCGACTCTGGCACGACATCTGAATCAAAGTTGTTTTCCTACTGTGCTACAGTCGAACCGAATTACAATTAAGTTTGGCACAGCAGAAGCAAGACGTCTGAACTGGGCCTTATTGTTATACAGCTGAAAATTTTTTTCCCAAAAGCTCATGCTCTCATTGGTTACTTTGAACTCACATGACATCTAACAATGAAACTGTTTCCTGCCAAAATCTATAGCTATGAGCGGGCTAACATTACAAAATCTATGACATCAAAGGGTAACAGTGCGCTGTTGCCCGCGAATGTTGAACAATGACCGCTGTTACAGTGAGGGTTAATGAATTTCCACAACCTGATTATGATATTAAACACTTAAAGACTGGTCCCTTGGGAAACAGTTAATTTTGTTTTCTGAGAATCTCCACCTAGGGAAACATTGAGGTTCTTGGGAAACAATATTAACTGTTTCCCGATGGACCAGTCATTAAGAGCAACGGTCAGGAAATATTGACCATCGAGCAGCAAGAGTTGAGAAATCGATTTCCTTCATTTTTTGTTCATAAATAGCTTTTAGGTAGATGAGTAATCTAATGTCAGTTGTTCTCGCAAAAAGCCTCTTATTTTCGAGGAAAGTGAGAATATTAGTTTTCATGGTCAGAGTCTCAAAATGGCCATATTTTCAAGCCGAAATTTGCTAACATCAACTCTCCTCGCGTTCGCAAATAAAGCCGCAAGGAGAAATTTGGACACTTTCCATCAATAGAACAACTCTTCTTCTTTCACTAGAACATACTTTCAAAGCAATATCAAGACTTGTTGAACTGACATAATTAAAAAACGAAGAACAGGTTAGGCTTGCCAGGATTTACAATTTTTCTATTTTACTTCATGTCTCCTTTTCCCCCTGATAAGGGGTATCAAATGGTAATTTCAATACTTTGCAAGACTTTGAGACCCCAGTTTTATAATTTGAGACATTTGATGAGTTTAACAAGACGTAAAATAAATTTTTGACCCTGAGACATAAAGTCACACAAAAAGACCAGTCGCAAATGCTGTCGAGATTTCAAGATCAGGCCAACATTTTTGGGGACCCACATTTTTTGAGGAAGCATTCTGCACCCCTCAGATACTGTTCATCTGATTTCTGAAAGCTTTAAACATTTATAAATTTTGGTAAAATTTTGTTTGGAAATGACATGTTTCATCTCTCTTTCAACAGCTGATAGGTGGCTTGATAGTTGGTATTGGACTCTACGCTCGCTTTGAAAAGACGGCGTATCAAGACTTCTTCAGTGATATTGTTTTGGATCCAGCCTTTGCACTGATCATTGTCGGTAGCATCATGTTTATCCTGGGATTCACTGGATGTATTGGTGCTTTGAGGGAAAATATCTGCCTACTGAAATTTGTATGTTGAGTTGCTTAATAATATTAGGACGGGTCTGCTTAAACTTTCTCATTGTTTCCTCTTTCTCGTCATTACAAAAAGATTGTGGATGTTCCAGAAAGTGCCAAGATTATTGACACTTCCACCCCTTTGGAAGGTCTCTAACAACTGGGCATGAAGGGCCTAGCTACCATCCACATCAAAACTCAGTTGAGATGTTTTGACAAATATGCCATTTACACCATTGTTCTGATACCTTAAAAAAATTGGTGAACAAAGGGCAAATTCATTGCTTCCCCTGTCCCCTCTGCAATTTGCACTGCTGGTCACGTTGCCTGTGGCCACAACAAACAAGACAGTTAGGAAGGGAGGGCTAGTAATGTTGGTGACTGTCAATTCCTTTGAGTTTTGTGTCTACTCTTATTAGACTGAGTGGCTGTTAATTGCTGGTGTTAACTCAGGTATAAATATAAGGAAAACTGAAGGATTTTAGCTAGAGATGAGAGTGAATTGCAATATTTGCAATTGGTAAATTACCATTCACTCCTATATGTTTATTTTTGTTTCTCTATTGCATACTGAAGTTTATTTCGTGTACATGTACAAGCTAACAAATGTTTTTTCAATAACTGATCGTTTGTGACCCTGATTGCACATAAACTCATTGTATTTTCTTAGTTCTCCGTTATCCTAGCCATCATCTTCTTCCTTCAGTTATCCCTTGGAGTGTTTGTCTTTGTGTTTCAAGAAAAGGTGAGAAGTAAGCCTTATTTGTGTTTACTTACAGCAGTTCTTTTGAAATGCTAAAATTTTACAGAGATGTTAAACCCATCAACAATAGATGGGTGTGGGGAAGGTGCCTGGTGAAACTGAAGGGAGCCACAAGTGAACTGGAAGGTAACCATGACAACCCTGTGAGAGGCATCCACCAGGCACCATCACACTGAGAACCTCAGTGGAGAAATGTCCAGATACTTATCGAAAAATAACCAGAGGGAAGGGAAGGCTGGGAGCCAGATTGGCTAAAGCTACTCTATGTAAAAACGTGAGCGAAATGATTGACCTCAGTGAAAGCACTGCAAAAATTTCTTAAGCCCAAGACCGCCCCAGATATGATTAGTGATGGAAACCAACGGCCAGCATTGTCTCTTGTTTAACCTCACCTAAATTAAAGTTAGCCACATTTAAACTAGACCATATACATTTCAACAAAATGAACTAGACAGCCGTGGCACAGAGGTACAATACCAGTGTATTATATGTTTTGCATAGTTTATGTAACTAAATAGTTGTAATTTCATATTTTTCTTCAACACAAGGGGGGTTGTTCTTCTTTTAGGGGCAATAAATGTTTATTTCTTGGTCTGGATTCATAATGTGAAAGGATTAGACTGGAAAGTGATAATTTTTTGATGAAATATTTCAGTTGAATCACTTAACTTTCATCAGCCTGATCTCTTATTAATATACTTTTCAGTTATTTTTAAACATGTATATTGATAATGAGATTAAGAATCATGTTTACTGCAAATGGCAAATGTCATTTTGAGGTTGACAACTTCTCAAAGTACTTAGTAGGAAGGGAGCAGAGATGATAATGTGCAAAATCTTCCTAAAGGCTGGTTTTCACTAGAGATGGAGTCAGAGTCGCAGTCGTAAGTGGAGTGGTAAGAGCGCTTATGACCTAGTGAAAACCAAAAATCGGTGTCATAAGCAGAGTCATAAGTGCGACGGAATTGGAGTCAGAAGAATCAGAGCGTTTTCATTTCTTCCAACTCCGCTTATGACTCCCTCGCTTACGTTCCGCTTGTGATCTAGTGAAAACCAGATTGTCGGAGTTGGAAGCAGAAGCAGAAGGATAAACCAATCACAATGCATACATGTTCCCACGCTTTGTGATTGGTTTCGTTCTTCTGCTTCTGCTTCCGACTCCGACAATCTGGTTTTCACAATGGAGTCGTAAGCGGAATCGGAGTGCTGTTTTCACTAGATCATAAGCTCTAAGCTTTTGATTAAGACTCCAACTCGAACTCGGACTCCTTCGCTAGTGAAAACCAGCCTTTATGGATGAACCTATTTCTGACGCACTATTTATTATTGTGCAGATACAATGATAACAATTATAATAAATGTTACGGGACAACTTGGTCACGCATGTACATTAATTACTAAAGTTGGTCATTTCCTACCAATGTGATACTAAATCTCACTAACATTACAGAGTAGTTGGCTGGTACAAATAAAGCAATCAGTTGCCAATTTCCCAGCACGTAGGACAACCATTTATACAGGTTTCAATTGACTGTGCAGTAAAATTCTGTACTTGCACATCTCATTCATTAACTCCTTCACTCCTAGTCCAAAGAAAAATTCGCCAAAAACTCACAATTCTTTTTGCAAAATCCTAACTAATGAATAGTACCGTGGAAATGTTCTACAAAGAGGTTTTGTTTAAATGATAACACCACTGGATTTTGTTGGCAGTTTCAAAAGTTAGTTGCCATAACTTGTACTAATCCAGCAGTGAAATAACTAAAGCTGTAGTAGTGTTTCTGCCAAGTGTGGTGAAGCCACTAATTTTAATGATGATAATAAAAAAACACTGCATTGAATATTATTTACATTTCAGGTTGAAGGTGTTGTTTCAGAGAAAATAAAAACTACGATAGAGAAGTACAGAGATAATGTTGATTTGCAAGTGCTGATTGATGGAGTCCAACAGGAAGTAAGACTGTTAAATGTCATCTTGTTCATCGGCCATCTCCCTTTTTTCTCCATTTAGCATGATCTGACCAACCCAAATTTTTGGCATTTTTCCAAAAAACGTAAGCATGGCATAAACTAGCTAGTGAATTATTAATTCTTTTAAAAATGAGCATTGTAACAGCATTTCATGTTACTAAGTACTATTTTTTAACCTGAATGACAAATAAAATGTTAAGCCTTCTGCTACAGTTCACATCCCACAGGTCACATCCAGTGCCTCCCATGGTAGAATCTTCATGTCTGCATGAGAGGAACAGATAGAAACAGGAACATTTTTGCTACAGTATTGTGCATTTTGTTGACCAAAATATGAAAACATTAACTTTTAATGTGGCCCTCATCTCCAACAAGGAATTTTTTTCTTAATAGCTCTATTTGAAAAAATCAACTCTTCATGAAGCTGTGATGCTTGATATATCCTGGGTAGGACTTCCTGCTCTAACATTTGCCTAAAGTAAGGGTTGCTTGGTGGACGTCGACCATGTCTGGTTGTTTCCAGCCTCCATAGAAATGATGCCCTCACATGGCCATTTAGATTTGGAACCACTCCATAATTTACATTTTTCTTATCTTGCCTCCAACAGTTCAAGTGTTGTGGTGGAAGCAGTTACAATGACTGGCAAAATAATGTCTACTTCAACTGTTCATCCCCTGGAGCAGAGGCCTGTGGTGTTCCTTTTTCTTGTTGTCAATCCGTACGTAGAATTTCATTTTTATCATTATTTTTCTTTTTTTTTATAACATTGCTATAGGACAATCTTTAATACACCATGTGTATGTCTGACAGCCCTGTTATGTGACAACTTTGATATATAAAATAGAAAATAAACTCAATCAAAAAACATCCCCTAATCATTCATAATCACCCTTCTAGGTGTGTTGCAAGTGCCAAATGAAATTCAGATTAAAGCTATAGTTTCAACCTGAGTTGAAAGTCAATTTCCTTTGTTTCCGAACCCTAATTGTTAGTCAAAAGATATTATCATGATTGATATAGGGTTCATTATTTGCAAAAAAATGCATTTGGTGTTCTTTGCATTGTTTCGTTAAAATTGGAAGTAAACGAAACTGATTAACTTCATTTCATTATGCTCCCTTAAAATTGTAATCTTAAGATTTTCCATCATAAACACCTACAAGATTATTCTGCATGTTTGTTAGCAGCTATTTGTAAAACTATGTTTTTATTTTTAATTTATGCAGTCATTTGTCATCATTAAAGTATACCATTTTCTTTCCTTTTCTTTTTAGGATACTCTTAACACACAGTGTGGGTATAAGATAAGACTACCCAAATATACTGTAAGTCCATATTGAGTTTTTATCTAAAATTATAAGGGGGATTGTTTTAGTCCCTGATAAGGGCTTTATGATGTGATGGGCTTCTTTGGTAGAATTATATTACTATTATTGGTTGTTGAATAAATATGATAATCATCATAGTACAGTGGTTGAGTGATCAGTCTTTCATTTTAATAATAGTTTTGTTGTAGTGTACTTGTCAGGTGACATTTGATCTGAATCTAACAAGAAATAATATGTATACATTTTGTCATCTTGTTTATTCAAACAGTTCAAAGGTTTCCTTCATCTCACGCTCATTAGCAACTTTGTTCTTGCTTTAGGACACTGATAGAGCAGCAGTTATTTACACTCGTGGCTGTCTTGATGCTGTTAAGGAGTGGTTCAAGGAAAACATGATAATTATCGGTGGGGTAGCAGTTGGATTGGCTTTATTGCAGGTAATTTATTTATTAGAAATTACCTTTCTAACAATGTTAGCTTCTCAGTGACATCCTATAATGCTAAGATATGCTAACGGCTTGAAACATTTGAGCCACAGGGAGTTGCTACTGGGATCAGGCCTGACCTGGAAGATGGGAAGTCAGAGAATATGGAAAAAAGGCTGATGCATGCCAATGACTAGCAGACTAGCATTCAAGAGGAAATGAAACATGACTTCTTGGATCAAGAAAATGATTTTTTCGATCCAGCAAGTCACACTACAGGTTCATGCTATGTAGCGTGCCGATGACCACAATTACCCCTTTTCTTTTGACTAGAAAACAAAGTAAATTGATATAATGATAAGCAATGAATAGAGCATAAATAGACTCTCCTTGTTTGCAAACTGAATCATACAGTATTTTGTATCTGGCCTTCAGAATTATCGCGTTTCTTACTGACAGACATTATGGGCATTACAAGCACGACATCACTGCATGTGTTGCAGTTGTAGTTTCTATGGAAACTGCAAACACAAAAAGGGAAGAAGAGAGTGAAAACTGGGTACTAACCAGTAGAGAAGTGACTAGATACTGAAAGAGAATGAAAGGTAGCCTCCCACGCACACGTTCCTGCCTTGCGAAAGAACGTCTGCGTGGGAGACTAAAATGAAAGGGGAATGTTTCTATTTTTTTTCTTTTCTAGATCATGGGAATTTGTTTTGCAAACAGTCTCATATCAGATATCAAGTTGCAGCTGGCGAGATGGGACAGAGACATCTACTGATTTATATGTCTTTCAAAATGTAAAAAATTTATACATTTTATACATACCGGTGAGGCACGGACCATTAGAAAAGTTATGGGGGGGGGGTGGGGGGTGGGGAATTATTGAGCCGCAGGAATTTGTTTTCGTTATCAAATTCCTTGTATGGATTTTTTTTAGGCCGTAGCATGAATATTCTTTAGGGTTAATTGGTGTGCATGATTTTTTTTTTTTTCATTTAATTTTCCCTTGCGCGAATAATTTTTTGCACTTCACCCGCCCCCCATAAGTTTTCTAATGGTCCGTCCCTAAATAGGAACATGAGTTATTTGCATCATTTTTACTCCATTTGTCTAGCTAAATAGCTCTAAATCAAAATAAGAGAACAAACAGCAATGTTTGGAACTTAGTTTGCTTGAGTTCCTGATACAAAGCTTTTCAGTTTTCATTTTGCTTAGTTTGGCGGAAAGAGGTAGCTTAACTGTATATACCTAGTAAAGAAAGTCAGAGTTCCTACAAAGAAAAAAAAGAAAAATCTTATTTTTATCAAAAGTTATATCAAGTTTACATGTATGCAATTTAGAAAAGGTTAATTATTCTTGGTTGCATCTTTTCGTGATTGCATGCTAGTTGTTTTAAGTACCTGATCAGAGCCATCCTATATTCTAACTAACACAGTCAACTCTCGCCTTGCGGACACCCCGCTATAATGGACACCACGATAATACGGACAGCAGCTAAATCCCAGGCAAAAATAAATTATAGTTCTTTGACTTCAATAAACTCCCGCTATCACGGACTCCCTCTAATGAGGACACTAACTCAAGGTCCTTACGGTGTCTTCTATGAAGAGAGTGGACTGTATATGACCAAGAGAGTATCCTCTCTTGATACGACTAGAAGACTTGGGTACATGGATTACCAGGAAGATCCTAACAGGACTTTTTACGATTCTAACCAGTGTCTCTTTTCAAAAAATATGATTTTCTGGTGGGTAGGGCTGTATCTAAGGGCTTGTTTGTTTCAGTCTGAATGGCGTAGCTGTGGGACAACATTAGGTAGTTTAAGATAAAAAACGAGGAAGGCGGCAAAAAGATAGCTTAAAACGTGATTTTGCTTACCTTACTTAAAAACTTTAACGTCTATATTCCATTTCAATTAATTTGTCAATTGCAAACGTCCCGGTTCGCTCCTCGCTTCTAAAAAAAATGACTTGGAAAAAATATTGCAATTATCCGTACCGGCACGATAGGTGACCGCAAGTTGTGAAAACATCGTTGCTTAGTCCCAGACCTCGTCTTCCCCCCCCCACCCCCCGGCCTGGTCCCCAGCGGGGAGGAGCGAGAAGTCGAGACGGCTCAAGAGGCTCTGGGATGGCTGTATTCGCAGGTTACACTTAACGTAGCATCAGGAAATCTCACCTCGTAGTCGTACAGTAACCCACAGCAAGGGAGAGAACCAAAAAAAATGTGAGTGGTGCACGTGAAAAACTATTGCTAGGCTTATCATTATCAAAACCTATTAATTTTTTTTACGTTCGCGTTGCTAACCCCGTTCTTCATCGTAAACTCCCTACTGTTTTATAGTAAGATGGCAATTTATTTATAATCGGTTAAGAGTGGATTTATTTGCAGTCGTCTTCTTGCGTATAGCCTTCGCATTTACCCACTGAAGGTTTTTTAAATTGTTTTTAAGTTTAAAAACAATAGAAACTTCCAAAGGGCAAATACGACGACTATACACAAGTATGCTGCAAATGAGTCCACTCTGTAAGTTTGGTGTGACGTTTTAAATCACGTGTTGCTTCTGTAGCATTGAGAAACAGAGATGCCGGGTTACACGGCAGTAGCAGTGAGTTTATTTCTTCCAAAGTAACAGATTCCATGTGAATTTTTAACTAAAGTATATATTTTGGAATAGCTGTAGTAAAATATTTTAATGAAGTGGACTTTGTGAGTTCTGCACGTAAAAACTCGCAAAAGCTTGCTGGGAACTTCAGCAACGACCAGAATGCTTCATCCCGGCGTTGTCCGCCGATGTCTCTTCTACAAAATCCACATGCCGACACTAATGATTTATTAAAAGTTAGAGCGAAAATGTGAAAAAACGTGAGCCACCCTCAAAAGTTTTGGCCTTTTTTGGCTTTCTTTTGACCACGGTGCGCTGATCATCTTTCCAAATTTTGGCGCTCGGAATTCGCTTAAAGTTCCCGAACACGTCTCGTCATTCTGGGCGATGGTTTCTGTTTCTTTTTGTTGCCTTAAAATGTCTTTCTGAGGAAAACCACTACTGAAGCTACAAGTGCATGTTAATGTCACACCAATTTGCGCTCATATTTGCTGCCATAATCATTTTTTAGAGAAAAAGGAAATATTCTGCTATTTGATGATTTAGACAGTCATATAGGATCAGTTCGATGTTTTGACTGATTTATTGTACATTGATAATTTAATGGAGTTTTTCTCTTGATTTGTACATACCAAGCTAAAACGCAATGCTAATATTAATTTTCAAGTTAAAAGCAAGTAGAGGTTACCACCTGTACGCAATTTAGTCTTTACCAAGACCTCCCCTAGCCATCTTCCGGAAATATTTTTACCATACAGATTGAGAACCGCAAATAACAGAATTGCTTCGGGCATTGAATAGCTGTGAAGAAGTTGCCAATTCGGAAGAAATCCTACCTAGCGGTAGATGGTGGGACATGTTGATCGGTCAAAGAAAACTCAGTGGAGATTTGAATATCATCAGTGTAATGTATGTCCGACATTTTTTCTGCTTCTTTCCACTTTTTAGTGACCTGGCGTCGGACATTTTTTTTTTCTACTAAGAAAGAAAAATTATTGGCAACTCTACCATGACATCACGATTAACGAACTGATTTTCTTTTCCTTGACAAAAAAGACTTATTGCGCCCAGGGTTGTTGACCTGTAGTTAGATACCCTTGGTGTATTATGTAGAGTACTGGCGTTAGAAGAGAAGATATTTTATATAATTGTATTAAGAATTCGTATTTTGATCAGGAGGCAGGTCTTCCTTTGCCGTAGATATAACAAAAAAGCAGACAGCAAGTAATGGGAACTAATGGTCGGTGGCTGCTAATTGCCGTTTTCCGTAAACTCTCTTTCCTTTCCGAGTAGCCTGCGTAGCTTGTGGTTTGTTTTTGGGTGTGTTTTTTTCCTTCTGTGGTTCGTTAAGTGAGAGATACAGCCGCGAGAAAGCTGACCCGAAGCTGAACCAAAAAGCGATGGGCGAGGGGGAAAGTTGAATGCAGGCGGTTTTTCCGGCTGCCCCTCGCCTCCCTCCCCCACCGTTTTCTTCGTTTGTTCTCACGCGCGACCGTAAATACGAACCGAAACGAAAATCACAGGACGCAGCGTCTACTGACGGTCAAACGGTCAGTGAGGGACTGGGAGAAACGGGCGCGAAATCGATTGACTCCGCCGCTGGCGTGAAGCCGAACGTCGAACAATCTTGTTTTGCACGGTAAAATATTCCCGTAAAAATGCCTAATCCTTGCAAAGTTTGCGGCAAAGAAGACAGTAAAAAGTGTGGTCAATGCCACAGAGTGTATTATTGCTCGGTTCAGTGCCAGAAAAAGGACTGGAAAAGCCACAAGGCAACGTGCAGCCCGAGGCAACCAGCAGAAACACAGAACCCTCTCCTTCGTGTCAGGGACAAACCCATGCACGACAAAACTCAAGCCAAACCTGTCTTTGGCGAGCCGTTCACACTCGAAAAGTTTTTTCCTCACGTAGAGAAAATCAAGGAGAACACTAAAAAATGTGCACTTTCGTGGGTTGGCTTACGAAAAGCTGGGAAAATGGACGTGGATACCTCACTTGCAACCTGTTTTTGCTTCTTCACGAGCAAAGGATGGGTTCGGGAGCACATGATGTGCATGGAGGGGCCTCCGCCGTTGCATATTTTGCAGCAAATTATCGATCAGTTTAAAGCTCACGCCTACAGCATTTTTGTGGAGATACGGTACAGAAATCCTCGCTCGCTGGCTGTCATGAAAGAAGGAGTATTATTACAGGTCAACGCCAGAGGTTACGACAAGAAGTTCTTCTTCGACCAGACCCGCAAAGGAAGAAGCGCGACTGGCGTGCTGTTGTCAGTGGACGACCCTGAAGAATGCCACATCTCGTTGTTTGATAGTTCTGGCCTTACATTTCACTGAGCCTTTTTAAAAGAAGTGTATGCCTTTAGGACTTGCGTTCCTCCATGAAAGGTTTAATATGACTTATTAATGCAACGTAATATAGTTAATGTACTTAGGTCCGGGGGGGTTACTCCTTTAAATAAGCCATATAGCTATGTGCCACTCCAGAGAGTACGGTTTTTTCCCGCCGTTTCGGTCTGAAAACGGGTAGAGGCTTTGGCCATTTTGCTCAGGAATCGGGTATGAGTTTCAAGGAAACTATGAGAGTGTGTGATTGTATGTTCCAATATTTCACTTGCATGCTTCAGGCAAATTACATATCTCTGCACGGCCATGTTAAGTTATGGGTGTGGTTGCACACACCATGGTAAAAGGCATTTCCCATGGTGAAAAAAGCCACTGTAAATTTACCATGGTAACATGGTTACACATGAATGAATTACCAAGGTAAATTAGCTGCTCTCACGGCTTCATGTCTTCATTTGCGCTGTTGCACCCCTATTTTGGTAATAATTCTGGTCGATCCTGGCAGGATTTCATGTTGTGTTGAAAATTTTGTATAATTTAAGCACAATTTCAACTGGTATATCAGTCCTGAAAACTTTGCAAAGGTATATACATTATTTAAATCTAGGCCTTAGTTTCCATTTTACTGTTCAGCCCATTTTGAATATCTGAGACAAATACAGGCATGGATACACACCAGTTTAGACTGTTTTATGGAAATCGGTCAGATTTTTCATTACAAATGTATTTTTAATGGTAAAAAACTTTCCAAATTGAAATCTTGCTCCATAACCAACATACAACATGGAAATTGACGGTGATGAAATAATCCACTGACTTGCAAGGCTTCACGTGAGGAGAATGGAACTGGCCAATATCCTGTGTGAATTACTCAGAAACCCAGGAAAGGGGACTTTAGGGTGTTAATATCCAAAAAGTTTGCTGGTGGTGCAAAGCCCGGACCCCCCAAGAAGCTTGCACCTTTGGCTCTTGTTTAGGAAATTGGTCAGTAGTTATCCTAGATCCGCGCCTGGAATAGAACATATTTTTGGTAAACACATCTGACTCAACAAACCAGCTGAAATCTTGCCTCAAAATTTTCCTGTTACTTTCATCTTAATGTGAAATCTGCCATGTCAACATCTATCTTTCCCGAAACAGCGCAAAAGAAACCTGTTAAAATAAGTAATTTTCTTTGCATTTTGATGTTGGTGTCTAAGGGTTGAATTCCAGTGTCGCTAAATTTCTCCTTGCCAGTGCACGTAAAATTTACCTGCATAAATGAAACCAAGGCAATGTTTGAAAGGCAGTTAGGCCACACGTAAACGTAAAAGTTCAACTTTTACGTATAAAAGCATGACCTTCCATACAATGTCTCTAGTTTATTTACACGCTGAAGATTTACGTTTGTACTCGCTGTAAAATTATGCATCAGTGGAAAACCACCTTAATAAAGAATCCAGATCAGCTCTTTTGACTTGGTGTATCGAATCACCCTTCTTATTTACCACGTTAAATGTCATGGGTGGTGTCTTTCTTCTTTTGACGTATCCATGGATATTTCACAGGGTAAATTTATCTCGGGAAAGTCCAGTCACACGCATCACACCAATTTCCCTTTGTAAAAGGGTCATTCACCATGGTAGAAGTGTTCCATGTAAACGCACCTAATGTCCTCTATATATTTATGTAACTATCCATCACTGTTATATCTGTTAGCCCATGGAGCTGGTGCCTTATTGGTAATCTAAAACCTCAAAATTTGTAGTCCATACTTCTAAGACACAGTCCATAATTTTTTTTAACACTGCTATTATTAATGAGAGCTTTATTTGGAGAATTACCTTTTTTGATTTTTGCTATTTGAAGATAATTAAAACCTGCCCTTTGGCCATTTTCTTGTGTATACCTCAGTATTTCTCCTGACGAATGAAGAACGTTACAAATTTTAACAACTTTCTGAACCCTGTTTTTGTTCTTTAGGGTTAAGCTGCTGCTCTTAAACTCTAGAGATACGTGATCCTTTTCAATGACACCAACTTAATGATTTCAATAGCCCACGATCAATGTATTAAAATCCTAACGACTTCGAGGCTTTCTCGTCATTTTTCCATATTTGGTTTGGTTTTCTTTGTGCTCAAGTCTCTTCTGGGAATTTCGAGACAATTGTGTTGTGAGAAATTTTGACCATAAAGCCCTGGAGTCAGGTTAGAATTTTAATATAACGAACGTGTGCTATTTGACAACACTTTTTAGCATGAAGAAACACAATGGACCATGGGAACGAGAAAGAAGAGTAGCGTCTCGCCCGTTTTCTCTTTCCCGCCTTTCCTTGCGAGCAAATTATCGAAAGAGAGACGTCTTGGTACGAGACAGAGCCACACCCATGCGGGCAATGTGTTTAAATGTAAACTGTGCCTTGAGCCCTTTCTACCTGGTCAGTTGTGGTGCAAAACCATCATGCTAGGTAGCAGGTAAGGCCTTGGGTGCTGACCATTTACACAAACTGTCCGTTTGGAAGTCTTGTGCATAAACATACAATTACACTAGAAATACGTGTATCGCAGAAATTCGCGAAGCTATGGGGGACGCGCGCGCGACGGGATTATAAACTCGCTTGGCGAGAAAAATTAGACCAGGTGAGAGAACGACCAGCTACAAAGTAAATCAAAATCAGCTGAACAGGTTGAAAAATTGCATCGCATCCAATCACAGCCCATATTTTCTGAAGGTTCCCAAACGAGATGGCGCGAACCAATTGATTTTCCGACCGGAAGTTCCGGGTTTCCCATGTAAATAGTAAGAACGCAAGCTTGTCTTTGACAAGAGAAAAAACAACTGTCAAGTTTTTTTTTATATACTTATAAGAGCAAGTTTCATTGTCAAGGAAAACGTGTTATTATTACGCAGTGGAAAAAGGAATACAAAGACGAAAAAGCTTATTTATTATCTTGTCAATGTCACACTGCAATACTGACATGAAACTGCCTAGCTGCAAAGGCCCATTGTAGCATGCAGGTGTTCTAAAGGATATCATTGAAGTCTCAGGGACAGGAAAAACGACGACGAAAGGTTTGTTTTCAAGAAATTTTGTAGGAACAGTGTAGCGCAAATAATCGAATGAATGATCAAAATATGCGCTGAAAAAGGAGGAAAACCAGACTTTTAGAGGTCGCTCCCTGCACTTCAGTGGTTAAAAAGCAACTGAAAAATGCTCGCGCAATGTAAGGTTCAAATAAATCCTGCAAAGACCTAATTTGACATGCGCGCGCTGACTTTGAGAGGTTCAAATAAAATAAAAGTCCATACTCAGGCCAGCTGGGTCTAGTGTCTGAATATCCTGGCCTCAAAACTGCGCCTTTCTGTTGCACTGCTGTTTTCAAGAATTGGGCGCGCGGGAACCCGAAGGGTGGGTACTCTTCCCTCACACACCTTTCACGGCCGGCGTCGAGTTTCCTTTTTCCCCGTCCCTCATTTTCAAACACCAGTGCGAGGCAAGCTAAGTACATTGGCGTGTAAGTTTTCTGCCTCGTACCCAGCCTTTTTCCAGCGGATTCGTAAGCGAGAGCTATGGAACGATTTTGGTTCCGAGCAAAGGATCATCCCACCCTTCCTAGCGTCCTTTGCACCAACGCTAAACGTTCCCATGGTCCATTGGGCGATTCTCCTTGTTCTCTACTGAAAAAAAACAACGAGGCAGGTAATTATGTATTACAGGTCATATGGGTTCACCGATTACAGACAAACGACGAGAAAAAAAACTGACTCACCGACAAAACAGGAAAAAATAGTCGATGAACCGACACCCAACATGGTCCAATATTTTACGATTGTTTATCGACTTGACAATAATATTTTGAAAGACTTGTAGCTATGCCAAGCCCCTTTGGCGGGCTTTATTTTACCAGACGTAAAACCAAATTAAATTCAAAATTTACCTTCCGAGTCGTGTCAAACTGAATGCCTTATTTTTGTCTCTCTTATGACAACCGACATGTGGACCCTCCTCAAGTGCAAAGTTTCAAAAGGTCAGCAACGTTTACTGAGAGATTTTGCAAAGTATTCAAGGACACAGATAACAACACTAACAAAGTTTATTTTTGGATGTGTTTGGTTCTTCCTTCTATATATCATATTCTATGTTTCTTTCCTTTTGTCAGAGCTATAGATTTAAGGTCCCTGGTAATCATCTTACAACAACGCAATTTACTCACCCGCAACACTTCTTAAACGTGAACTGAAAAAGTAATGAATTTTAAAAAACGTTCTTGGAAATCATTGCCCAAAAGGTTTGAAATCGGAACACCTTTACCACGAATCTCTTCGATCATTTTGAACACTTGACAGAGTGTTAAACTGATCTCGTCTGTGCCCTGTACTCTCGACTCACTTTCCTCTTTTACTTTAGATGTGTCGATATCACTGAGGCAAAACCCTATACCAGTCTAAAGATTTCAGGATGTTTCAGATTTTTAGGTGAAAAACGAAAAAGTGCAGGGGCTTATTCGTTGTTAGTGTGGAAGTATTAAAGTATATATTGCATTGTAAAGGACGGAACGTTTTAAGGTTTCCATAATTAGTATCACCCACTTTGAACATCAGTGCCCCTTTTTATCAGTTTGTAATGAGTCACCGCTGATGACGGTAAAACGTCGCGGCGCTGAAAAGCAATATTCTTTTCAATATTACTGTAGTAAGGTTTTCATATGCAGCTATTTTGAGAAAGGTTGTCGAAGGAAACGTGCACGCGCGACACTCCCGGGAGGATAGAATATGATCAATGCGCTGTTCCTGACAATGCAGCTGTCGAATCTTCTATTGACGCTTTCCTTTAGCATTCGCAAACGTACGTCTATGGCCTCTCGTGACCGTGCCATTCTTTCAAATTTTTTGAAGAGCAGTAAACTCAGAACCACCCACAATACCTTTCGAGATTGTCGAGTGCACTTTTTCCCACAACCTTTCTCGAAATAGCTGTATATCAGCCATGTACCGGTAAATAAAGTAAAGTAAAATCTTCAGTTCTAAATTAGCCAGGTTGTACTTAAAGGCACTAAATAAAAGTGGAATTATCGGGTGCATGAGACTGAATTTTCAACAAAACAACGACAGCACGCACTCAAGACTCAAGTGTGACCATGTCAACCTTGGCGATTTTAATCAATTTTCGTTCAGTTTCATTTTTCAGTGTTCACGTCATCCGCGTTGGCCCTGGGTGCTTTTTGAATGTTCAGTGTCTTTGGCACCTTCCAAAGGCATTGCCACAGCACGGAGTTTCAGAGTAGATCAATTAAAAAGAAAATCATGATATTTTACCCTAAGTCTAGGTATTATTTAGTATTTTAGATGGATCTTTTTCAGTGAACGGTAATTACTTATTTATAAAAGCTAAAATCCCATGACCTTCGTTTAACCTTGTAGAGCATAACAATAAGCGCCACGGGCATAATAGTTTGCGCATGCTGTTCGATAACGTCAGATCAATAATTATTTAATAATAAGCAATAAGTACAGACAACATAAATAAGACTTTTATCGCTCGAACTTTGAATTTGTTTCTCTCTTCTGAGACCAGCTTTTCTGAAAGTCTTACCGCTATGAATACTGTCAGACTGTCCAAAAATATTCCTTGGCTGAATTTACAATACAAACAATGAGAGGCCTCCCACGCAGGCGTACGTTCGTGATCTTTTGTAGGCTTCGTCAAGTGTTCCTTTCCCAATGTTCGTGAGCAAGAAACTCGTTACAAAGCTCTAAAAACGTCTTGGAGGGAGGCTTTTCAAAACAACTATTTCTCCTTGTAACCAACTCTGGATATGACGCTGCAATATCTTAAACACCATTTAAGTTCCCGGTACTAACAAACGGGTGCGTAGTGACTGCAACTGTTAATTGTAGGCCAAAAAAACAAAACACAGACGTCACTGTTTCAATTCAACTTGCTGTAGGCATATGCATAATGTGACCTTAGAACTAAAACTCACCGATCGAAAGCCAGGCGAGTGGCACGCTAGCTAATAATTACAAGCTACCAGTATTAAAATATCATTAATAAGCACGTCTTGCGGGTGAGTAGATGGCCAGAATCCTTTCGCTTCCTGCTTCTTTGAATTAGTGATTAATGAGTCAGTATTGGTTACAGCTCATGCATGAATGGCAAACAAAAACACAGCAATCACTACAAGAACATTTACGGTCACGACAGAATTAAGTTAACACCGTAACGATGCCGATCCGTTTTTGTGATTTATCACGCGTGGTTTTAGTGGTCTATTAAAACCATCTCCGATCCTCATAACCACGACCAAACAGTGTCCAAGGCTAGAGACATGTGGTACTGGATTTTAGCGTGGCTGCTTACCATCGTCACCGTTTTTGGAAACGGATTTGTGATTTGTTTGATTATCAGAATTCAACGCCTTCGTACGACAGCAAACTGGTCCGTTCTTTCCCTGGCAGTTGCAGACCTCCTTGTTGGACTTACGTTTTACCCTCTTCTCTTCGCCTTAAACATTGACAGCTTAAATGAGCCTCCTGAGCAAGCTAAGACATTTTTCCTGGTTTCTCGAACGTTTCTTTATTTATCAGCCACAAATCTGTTTGTCATGATAATGGATCGCTACATCGCCATAGTTCACCCGCTCAAATATCTCTCTTTTGTAACAACGAAACTACTAGTTGCTGCGTTGGCCACAGCATGGATTTTACCAGTTCTGCTCTTCACTCTTCCCTATCGTTTAGTGTGGGGAGGAAAATTCCTGTTGCTTTTAAGAGTATCGATTTTACAGGTTCTCCCAGTGGTCTTTTTTATCTATGTCACTGTTCATATATTCTTTATAATGCGACGGATTTCAAAAAGGCAATCAAGGATTTTTGCTCAGCTTGCGTTCAACCATGCCCCGAAATCCGACGACCAGACGATGAGCTACGGCTCTCACACCGAAAGCAGGGCTGCGTCTAAGATGACGGTAGCAATCATGTTCTTCTTTATTATTTGCTATGTATTAGAGAATTGCAAGTGTTTCTGTACTGTGTACACTATGTGCCACATATCCACAGCATTCGAGCAAGCTGTTGATCTTCTGTTTGTGATTAATTCAGCAGTTAACCCCGTTGCATACGCTTTTTTGAAGAGAGACGTAAAATCGGTTTTGCGAGGAATGCTTGTGCCACTAAAACAACAAGTCCACAGCATTGAAGGGACACAAACGTCTAGTTCAGAGCAACGAAAAGAGGATTCTAGAATTTAAAGCATCATTCTAACAAACATCATGCTACCATTTCCTTTTATTTTATTGAAAGAAGTCAACTTTCCAACAGGAGTGTCTTTCCCATGGTTTGAATGTTCTGCGCTTCAAGCGATTTATTTTCCGACACAGGGGTAATTGTTTTAATCCCAATTCTAAACTATTTTCAGGAAAACATTATTTTATGCGTTAGACGGTAGTCTGAGTGGGTGTTTTTCTTTCAATTTGAACAATACGTATAAACTATTATGAGTTAATCCCCTGAGGGCACTCACTTTAACTTGTGTTTAAAGCGTATTTTTCTTAATATCCCTGGCAATGCCTTTCATTGGCAGAAGCTTCAAGTTTTAACTTTCAATTTTAACAGAAGTAAAAGGCCTCATTCGAACTTAAACAGTTACTTCAGTTCTAAAATGTTACTGCGGAAGGACAACATGCGACAAAAATTATCTCATGTCTTGAAATGTTTTCGAGTGAACAGCGTGAAGTAGTATGTAGATCTAGAGCAGTCCAGGGAAAAATTTATCTTCTTAAAATAACCCACCGGCTAAATAGATATGGCGCCCTATGGTTGTTACGGTATTACTCCCCCAGTATGCATCATACTCAGTGGTCATTAAAGCGTTTAATATACGAGTGGTCATTAAAGCGTTTAATATACGAGTGATAATCACGAAATTATACAGAAAGTTCTAATTTATTTAGGAAAAGAATTTGTTGGGCTGACGTAAGCAATTATCTTATTTTGAAAAACTAAAGGCTTGTCGGTATTAAGTGATTAACAATATCGGCTTAGATACGAGGTTGTTCGATTGATCGTATTTTCGGAGTATATTTTCAGAATTCAAGGAAGAAAGATTGTTACCGCGGATGTTGGAGGCTCCACTGGAATACCCGCGGGGGAATACCACGTACATCTAAATATTGCTCATCAGCCAGGGCTGTAGATATTGCAATAAACGACAAACTCTTCGATTTCTGACGTTGATTCTATTCACTCTATAGTCACGATACCGCGGTCAAGGAATCAATCGAACGCATCCAGAGGCTGACCACTGACATATTAACGATTATGGTAAAATAATTGATCATGACTTTCGCAAACCACATGTAAATCGTCAGTCGTTAAGCACTTAAACGGATATAAAAATTGTGCTCGTGTGGCTATTAACGCATGAGTTGTCTCGATGCGTTCACAAACGCACCTTCAGAGTCTCATATAGTGGACTCACTAATGGTCGGTATACACTAGGCGACAAGTTGCAGCAACATGTCGCAACGACAGATCACTCCGTGTGAACAGGTCCGGCGACTAGTTGCAGCAACATGTAGCAACGACACGTCGCAGCGACAAATCGCTTCGAGTGTAAATGGAGAATTTTTTGTGAAAATCTTTGTCTCTGCAACATAATTTTGTCGCAGCAACATGTTGCAAAAAATCAAATCAGACAGAATTTATGCGAGTTGTCGCGGCGACAAAATTCCATTGCAGAGACAAAGATTTTCACAAAATCTCTCCAGTACACACAAAGCGATTTCTCGCTGCGATGTGTCGCCACGACATTTTGTTGCAACTTGTCCGATCAGTCGCCCGACCTGTTCACACGGAGTGATCTGTTGTCTCGACTTGTTGCTGCAACTTGTCGCCTAGTGTGTACAGAAGCTAGTTTTAGTGTGGAGTTAAATCGCTCAGGGTGTCCAGCAGAATGGCAGCTCAAAAAAATCGGAAAATAGGAAACTCAGTATTGAAAAAATAGGAAAATTAGGAAAGTTTGTATTAAAAAGAATACGAAAATCAATAGTACTTTCGTCGACGTAGATATTTAGCCTCCCTGCACCCCATCAGGGTTATAATAAGGGCTACGAGTCCTCGGTTTCTACGTTCGGAGGATTTAGATCAACTTTCACGGTTTAGAAGAAGTGAAAATGATCAGTAACGTTTAGTTTATTGGCTCAGTTACGCTGTAATCAGAATGATACAGTAAAACCCCCCGTATAAGAACCTGGATTATTTAATTTAGCCTTAACAGGTTCTTATATAAATGGTACTTAAAAAGCAAATTTAGACTACCAAGGTTCTTAAAATAGGTTCCTATATTTTTATATGAATTTCAATTAAGTGTATTATAAATATCATCTCACAATACAATATATTATTCAATAGTCGCGAGAACTATAACACTACATACAATACATGTAGGTGCACTAGAAAATTATACAAAAAGTAACAATATAACAAAGTTGTTAACAGAACTCTAATGGGCAACAGAGGTCATGGAAAGAAAAAAATTAACAGGTGTGATCAATTCACGCTTGCGCGTTCTAGCCTTTTTTTTAAAATTTATCCCCGGAAGGACATCTATGAGTAGGCAATAAGTCATCACAGAATTTGATTGTCGGCGAATTCTTGTAACCGTCCATCTTTCTGCTGGAGATAAGCTAGCCGTTGATTCACTCGTCTTGCTTGTTTGAAACTGAGTCTTATTCCTCCAAAGAGAGAGAAAGATAGACTTTCAAAAAGTCCTTCGTCGGATTTCATATGGCGGGGAACGAAAGAGGCTCGCTCCGCTCGCCAAGAGGTCGACTTGTAGCGAGTCTAAGAGAAAGAGTGTGTGGCAAATTGTTTCCAATCAAAGATTTGTGGACTCGTGTCTGGCAAACTCTCCAAGTGTTTATATATACACAGTTATATGCACCTTATAACTTCATCTGCGTTTAACGAGTGTCTTTTTGTCATCACTTTCACAACAGCTGCTCCACAGATTGTCACTGATAACGCGTAATTAACGCTAAGAGTATCGAAGTATACAATAAAATACAATAATAATAAATAAATGTCACAAAATGTACTTAAGCGGTCCCTTCGGGAATTTCTGTTTTACGTCATCCTAAGCATCTCTTAAGCGGGCGCGAACAAAAGAAACGTCATCATTACCTACCGATTCCTCGCGGCCCCAAATCGAGATTTTTTCTGGTATACTGATTGTATATTTCAACTGTAAGTACTTTCCTTAATATACGCGCGAAATCCCTGCGGGGCAACTATAATTAATTCCATTTTCAATTTTGTTGCAAACTTTGGCTTCACCAACTGAAAACGAGGAAAAATAGGAGGTTTTAGCTTAAAAAATGGGGGAAAATAGGAATACGCTCAAAAAATAGAAAAAAATTGGAGCTGGACACCCATATTGCCAAATGTAGGGTTACAGACAGCTAGGCACACTCTTGTTAAAGTTAAAATTGTTGAAGCTTCCGCAACAAAACAGTTCTAGTTTGAGGTTGTCAGCCCTACTCCTTACCCAAAACACTATTCTTTTCAGGGCCCCAAATGATGGAAGGTGCTAAGGAATCTGAATGGGTTACACTGATATGAATAAATAACGGTCTCTCTCTCCATCTCAGGCGTCTCCCCTTAGACCTGCATAAGATCGATGAACCCTGCAAGAATGCAAGACTCCCGCCAGCATAACTCACTGGGTCACAGGGTCATACAAACTAGACCGCCATAAGTGATGATTCTTCGTGTGGCGCCTACCCTTAGACCTATCTGGGATGGATCAACCTGCCAAGAATGCAAGACTCTAGCCAGCATAGCTCACCGGGTCACAGGGACATACAAACTGGCCCATCGTGAGTGGTGATTTTTCGTCTGGCGTTTAGACCAGTCTGGGATGGATGAACCTGCCAAGAATGCAAGACTCTAGCCAGCATAGCTCACTGGGTCACAGGGACATACAAACTGGCCCATGGTGAGTGGTGATTTTTCGTCTACCCTTAGACCTGTTTGGGATGGATGAATCTGCCAAGAATGCAAGACTCCAGCCAGCATGACTCACTGGGTCACAGGGACATACAAACTGGACCGCTATGAGTGATGATTCTTCGTCTGGCGTCTACCCTCAGACCTGTCTGAGATGGATGAATCTGCCACGAATGCAGGACTCTAGCCGGCATAGCTCTGAGACACAAACCAGCCCTTTATGATTGGTAATTCAACTGGTGGGAATAATAAGAATATACCACCCATCCATTAAAGACGGAAAGAAGTCGAGAAAATTTTACAGAGTTTTATATTCAAACACGGGTAGTATTTTTCTCGATAATTTTATTTTGCATTATGATAAATTTCGGTTCGCGGGAATGGGCATCATTGTCGTTCCCCCCCTCCCCCCCGGGCTGAAGTGCGAATTAATCGCAGAACCGTCGCTCGAGCTAAATTCGTTTTCATAAACAGAGGTGTTCGACAGTTCTATCTGAGCTTTGATTGAATTGGGAGCAACGCACAGCAGTAAAACCGATGAAGATGCATTGCAATTCATTAAAATGTATGTAAGAGGAACCTCACCCAAAACTGCTGAAATATATTTCAGAAATGTCGAGGAACAAGCCATTCGACTGCAGAGCAAGGTTTGGAGCAATTTATAGGGCTCCTAAAGCTTAAGAGTACCTTTTAAAGAATAGCACGATCGGCAGTTGGCTCTAGTTGTAAGAATTACCAAACATTAGAATTACAGTCAACTCCCTTCAACCCTTTAAGTCCCAATAGTGACCAACATCAATTTTCTCCTAACAATATCCATACAATGTCAAAGATTAGGTTATGAGAATTAATAAAATGATCACCTAAGAGAAAATGCTTTGATCTTTCATTAAATTCTCTCAACTCATTCTTTATGGAAATGTATAGAGATCAGTTTGGAGAATTTGTATGTGTATATTGGGGCCTAAAGGGTTAAAGCGAACACTGTAGGGACCTCGAGTTAGTGTCCTCATTAGCGAGAGTCCGTAATAGAAGGAGTGTTTTTCAATCAAAGGTCTGTAATTTATTTTTGCCACGGATTTAGCTGCTGTCCGTATCATCGGGGTGTTCACAAGGCGAGAGTTGACTGTACTTGTCCCGAAAATTTGAATTGGTGGCTCTTTCTACTTCAGAGCAATTCGCTTTCGAAATTCCAAACCAATTTCACTGCTGAATTTCGAACGACTTTCTAGTTACGGACTTTTGCTCCAACGATTTCTATGAAATATATATGGCATACTTATCATATCAATGAAACCCGATTCCAGAAATTTCAGTAAAGAATATCAGCAAAATTTTTTACTAGACACCATTTTCTTTGAACAGTAGAGTGCACTTAAACGCTTATTTCAGTAAAAATGTTTGCCACCATTAGATTCGGATTAATTCTTATATTACTGAATATCTGTAGTTCTTCCCAAAGTTTCGTAGCCATCGCGTTAAAACCAAAAAATTATGAAGGAAAGTTCGTCATACCTCCATGCGCCTTTATTAATAACGGAGCCACCTTAATAGTGGCGAAGCAGTGTACGCAGAGATACCTAGACTGCGAAACAGTCGGTTTTTTTCTCAAAATCAGTAAAGAAATCGGTGGGGAGGTTAAGATACCACGACGGCGAGGGCTATCGCGATTATTCCAACTCGCTTATTTTGTCAAATGCAAGCGAACTCTTCTGGAATTGAATTCCTAAGGAACTATATATCCAAGTTCAGAAACAGAAAGAAAATTTCTTCGGGACTTGTCTACGTACTCCATAAAACGTGAAATTAGGTATTTGCACGTCGTTGTCGTGCCGTGAGGGCAAAGAAATATACGAAAAAAGTCTGCCGCACGTGCAAAGTTGTTGTTTTGCCTAATCAACCTATTTTTTTTTTCGTCAAGTTCTCGTTGCCGTCAACGTCGTAATAACAGTATAGTTCTAACTGCTTCCTTTATGTAAGCACTACGTTCAAGGTCTGATCAAAACCGGTTAAACAACACGACAAAACAATATTTAATTTATGCACAATTTTAACTATCAATTAATACCATTACAATTGTGACAACCTTAGTCTTTTCCTCCCTATTTCCAATCACCCTAGTTATTTAGAAAGGCCTACAAATTGGCGTGTCTTTGC